TAACAGTAGTAATAGTAATAGTAACAGTAACAGTAATAATAGTAATAGTAACAGTAACAGTAACAGTAACAATAGTAATAGTAACAGTAGTAACAGTAATAATAAGTGATAATATGAACAATAACACCTCCTTAGCCATAGAATACATTGAAATATATAGTCTTAAATCTGTTGAAGTTATGCAACTTATCACGTTACCTCGGCTGGTCAATAAAAACATGGAAAAGGCATATTCTTAAATTACGATTAGATTCCAATGCAATGATCCTGAAAAATCAAAAATCTGTCATCTTAGACACATGTCGCACAATAGAAACACAATAGTTCGCATCGTGCTGAATTAATCATGAGCTGCAACCAAGTGTGTGGTTTGCCACATGTAGCCACTCACCTCAGAAACCTGGGTGGTTTTCGAAACTTATGCCAAAAATAATAATAATAATGATGATGATGATTATTATTTTAGAAATCAGCACCTGGTTGTAGATGATGGAAGATTTAATTACATTTTTTTATATGTATAAATAATATTAGTAGCAATAATATTAATGTATTGAATAATACAATGCTATTTATCAATTACAATTGTCCAAATAATTGTAATTATTAAAATATTTAGCTTACTCAGAAACAAAGTAACAGCTTGGAATTATTTACAGTTACTGAACATGATTCCGGATGTAAATGCTTCTCCCATAAGCTAACAGGGTTGGAACAATTATATTAGTTATTAAATTTATATATTAAAAGTATTTAATTTTGTATATTAAGTGTTAATATTATCTTAATATAATCTCATCAAATTAATATTATTAAGTTAAGATAATATTAATTTGCTGAGTAGTTGGAGCAATAAATGAGCGTAAAGCAGGGACCATGGTTGGATTCTTAATTTGAGTGGCAATTCTTTGAGCCATTTTAATTATTCAAATACGTAGCACTTCCAAACAATCAGAGGTTTTTGGACATTTCGACGAGAAGAGTTGGTTACGCTGAAGTCGAAGGGCTTTGTTTTGTACGAGACAAATCTTTTGATAAACCAGACGACTTTGCCCGGATATTTTCTTATCGTAATCGTGTATCATGCACCCCTGAACCCTCCACACTTGTATATTAATAATTGAAATCATTCAAACAATTGTCACCCAACTGAGAATCACGTTGCACATCACGGCAAACGCTAGAGAATCATTGTTATCTTTCTTTGCAAACATTAACTGTGAGAAATATGCTTAGTATTTCCGACGCAATTGCCTGTCCAATAAGAGATTTAATATACCAGACGACTTTGCCCTGGTATTTTC